AAGTCGAAACCATTCAGTGTTCGCACTGGTCTCCGCCAAGGCTGCGTCCTGTCCCCTATCCTGTTTCTGTCGTACACGGATAATATAATCAGGAGCAACCAAGGCGATGAGTGCATCGGTGTAGGAGTTGTGAAGACGAGAAGGTTGCTGTCTGCAGACGACCTTGTTTAATTGGCATCTTCTGAAACTGATCTAAAGTGCTCCCTAGAAAGGTTCGCAGCCGAGTGCAACGTGACTGGCGTGCATGCGAACGCATCTAAAACGAAAAGCCTAGTGCTTTCTCGTCCTCTGCCCGTTGCTCTCTTCAGATTAACGGAGAGGCAATGGAGCAGGTGGAGAAGTTAAAGTACCTCGGAACTATATTTACTAGTGATGGAAAGTTGGAGGAAGAGATCGACTGGCGAATTGGAATAGCCAGTGGCGTTCTGCGTGAACTAGCTTGATCCATTGTGACGAAAGCAGAGCTCAGTCTGAAAACTAAGGTGTTCAATTCGATCTTTGTCTCCATGCTTACCTACGGTCTTGAGTCGTGGACCATGACTGAAAAGCTTCGAATCGGGGTAGAAGCTGCTGAAATGGGCTTTTTTAGACGAGTCTCTGGCCTTACGTGCTTCGACATGATCCGGAATAGTGACATCCGGAAGAGCCTTGGAATATAGCCTTTGCTTCTCCAGGTTGAAAAGTCACAGCTGCGATGGTTTGTCCATGTGTTGCGAATGCCGCCAGAAAGGAAAGCTGAGCAACTCTTTCTTGCAAAAGCGACCGGCAGAAGGCGCAGGGGGACGGCGAAGATTGTCCTGGTTCAAATGTATAGAAGGAGTCTGTTCCACACTCCAGTTGTTTTCTGCCGAAGTTCAAAGTCTGGCACAGGATGGAGAACGTTGGAAGCAGTGTCTGGCGCGTATGTCTCCGCCACCCGAAAGGAGAAGCGGCAAATGGAAAATGAAGAAGATGAATTCACTATGCCAGCAGTATCCGAATCTTTTCCTTTTGCGTTGCATCACTTCTGAATTTGGTATCGATCAGTTGTGCTGTTCCTTGCAAAGCGTAGACCATTTCAACCAATTTCGAATTCTTTTACGGTATCCGATCGAAAAGATGTTCCTCATTTCATATCATTGAGGCTAACCATTATTGCGAAGGTGCAAAGATAAAGGCGAAAATGTCAGGAATCACGCAAGATGCAAGAAACTTACAAATAGCATAGAATGAGAGGGGAAATAACTCCGATTAAGCAGTTGTTGTGTCGACTGCGTTCTGTGTATTTCGGGACCCAAGGATCTGTCGATAATATTCGCACCATCGCTGATTAGTAAACTTGCAAAAGAAGCTGCACTTTATGACCGACAGAATTGAATATCCACTTTTTAGAGGCAGAGCTGCCAATCAGCAACATATCGTGAAGGTTCGAGCCTCCTGCCCACCCTGATGACTTCCAGCTTTAGTCAAAAGGTCTTGTTGAGGCGCGTGCATGTAATTGCTCTTCGGAATTACTGCGCTGCACAGCGACAGGTTTCGATTGTGCGAATTCGTTCATCCTAAAGAAATGTACACACGTAACTAAGTAGTATATCCTTTAGCAGGTTAAAATACAGCTTTTAAAGGCCTCCAGGGGTGGAGGAGATTAAATATTTGGATTCTCTGAACGTCCCAAATCGCCAAATCTTGATGATACAATGAGGAGTCTAAAAATTATCAATGGTGCCTTATGGTAGAGTTCAAATGTGTCTAGGCATACAAGAATAGCGAGTTTTGTGAAACATCGAAGTGTGAGGATCAGTTTATCGAGAAAAAGGTGGGAAGTAACAATGATGTTCTGCTCTTTACAAAATGTGTCTGTTCTGCTCTGTAAACCTGTACCATTTGCCATTTTGATTCCTGCACGTGCTGAATATACTGAATATGAATATGCACGTGCGAATTGTTGAATTCAGCCACTGAACAATTGTTTAGCACCAGCCGATAATTCCTGTCTTGTATTGGGAGTTTCGAAAAGAAGATTTCGAATTTGAGTTCAGACCTCTTGAACTTGAAGTTGTTGCACATTCATTATTGCAATATTTCTTGTTTATGGTGTGCATGTCAAACGCCTCATAGTTGGGTTCTATTTTGTTCATATTCATTAAAGTTTCAAAGTAAAAGTTTTCTTGTTACGATTAATTCTTAATGAACTTTAGACGTCACAAACATGAACGCAATGACCGATCCTGACACCCTAGGCCGCTAGGTTCAATCCCATGTTAAATCAGGGATTGCTATAGCCAGTTACTTATGTGCGAATACTGGTAAACAATTGCCTATGGGTAGTTTAGTGATACGTAACGAATGTTTGCTCTTTATTCAAACGGTAGGTTGCATGATATACAACACATTATACCTCTTCCAGACATGCATTCCGCCTTGATGATACTCATTCCTGCAACTGAACCTGTTTCTGTACTATTACGATTTTTTGGCCAATCAGAAATGAAAACGGTTTTGAAAGTTAGTTTGGTAATGAGGCACAGTGTACTATAAGGCGTTCTTCGTTAAGCTTTCATGATGGAGCCATTTCTGGCGCCCTTCTTTTCATGAAGTTAATGTTAGGGCGCTGATTTCCGTTTCCACGCCATTAGTCAGAAGTGTCTTATGGTAAAGACAGAGTCGACAGCAGCTACGTGGCAAACAGAGCGTGTTGCCTCTGTTTGCTACACACAGAGTAATAATCATTTATCAACCGCTGAAGAACGAAGGCGAGTGACCCGACCGGGACTCAAATTTAGGTCCTCTCTGTTTTGATATACCGATGGAGCACCACCTGACCGAAGCGACGAGTGATAAATTCCTCAGGGAAATTCGTGCTTAAGGCAAAGGCCAACCTCTGGCGGTATTGAGCGAAGTACCTCTGCAGTTCAAAGTCGGCATATTTATTATAGAGTGTAGTAGTCAAAAAGATCTTTTCTTTGAAAAGCACCGTACTGGCCAAATTTCTTTTCACGATAGCCAATTCATGAAAACTTTCATAACCATTAGTCATCGAACCGTGTTTTGTTGTTGTTGCCACTGTCTTCCTTAACTAAAGCGTGAGGAAAAATTTGATCCCATTGAAAGATATTGCAGACATACATGTAGTGTTGTGCATTACCATAGTAACGGTTACATTTCTATTAAACCCTGACCCTTAGGAATTCAGAGATTTTGTATTTTTCCCAGATGCATCTGTCTCAATCAGCAGTACATAATAAAGAAGTATTTATAACACATTTTTACTCTCTTTTTGAGCCTTCTCATTAAACCAGGCCACACACTTGAGTTGGAGCTCTTCTGGCAGTTTTCTCAAGTCGACTAAACATGTTCGTCCATGACCCATGTCACTTTCAAGGGCATGACACTATACCATACCACCTTCGAAACACTTGACATGCAGCGTTGTTAAAAGCTGTTGAAAAGAGAGTCATGATGCTTCAGAGTAAGGAATATTTGCACACTGAGCATGACCATTTCGAATATGGCTGCCTTCAGGGTTGTGGCCCTCAGATATTTTCTTACGTTTCGATCATTCTATACTCCATACAACTTTCCAAAGATTTCTGACGTAACTTCCACTTCTTGGTCCAACTCACGTTCACAGTCATTAACAAGTCTGTTTTAGGGTATTCATAAATTTTCGCTTGTGATGATCGATCTGCCGTCTCCCCTTGCAGACTTCTTGACGTTCCTCAGGCCACTGGGCGCAACTGACGTTCCCTTGTGACCTATTTGAAATGGCCTGTAGAACTATTGCTCCCTAGCTGTATAACACACCTTCAGCTATTGTGAGTAAGGCATCTATGGAATGGTTCCGCAGCGCTTACGCTTAGAGCCTGTTCAAAGTAATATTGACATTTTACATAGAACTGCTTGCTGATTACCTGTAGGTAATGCACTGTTTCAGGAGGACGCTTTTCAATATCACTTAATCCAGCACGATATGAAATTATTTCTGCAAAAACACCTTCCCTTGATGGTTTCGAAATTGTCTGAGAGTGGTCCTCCTTTTTAAGTGGGCATTGCTTCCTTTCAAATGGATCGCTTGTCAGTTTCATTACCACGTACGTTATGTTACGTTGTCTAAAATAAACTGAATTGACAGTTGCCTAAATGTCTAGCTAAGGCAGGTGAAAGCTCCTGTATTGCGCCATAATCCATTTAGCTTAAAAGAGATTACTCATTATTACCAAGTTTAATATTCTGTTTCATTTGTTGACAGAGATCGACAATTACTTTTGAGGTTTTTTAGTGACTGTACATACGACGTTTTTCTCCTAGACAGACAGCTGGCTGATTTTTTGAGATTTTGCGCGACTCATGATGCGATGAAACCTTTCGGCCTTTACATCACTTACCTACCTTGATCTTTATGGATCACTGACCGTCTTCAAAGGCTTCCGTAAATGTGACTAATGCAGCCGCCAAGGTTTCATATCGGTTTCGGTTTAAAGATCACGTTTCTACAGTCCGCCTCGGTCAGGCTGACAATTCCGGTATTGCACAACATGCGATTACTGCAAGACATTCTTTCAGTCAGACCAATGTGTCTGTTATAGACAAAGACCAATCTAAATTAGGTCTACTGACAAAGGAGTCCTTACATTTACTGGCAATTAAAAATCGGATGTGCAATGAATACATATCTGTGGTTATTAGCGAAAGTTGGGGGTGATTGCAAAATTGATAAGATCGCTTGAATGAGAAAGCAACACTAGTTTGTTGGTTAACACTGACCGTTGCTTTTAACAAAATCTTGGTTGCAACGTACTGTTCAATTCTTGGACATCTGCCTTCAAGCATTCACTTGTACTCTGCATAGTCCCAGTGATGCTACGGACTACGTAGCGAAACGCGCCGGCAAAAAATTGTTTTACCATCTGCAGCGTTTGGTAACCTTAACCATTAATCGTTCAAATTCTTATCTTCAATGTTTCGTATCGCTCTTCAGGATATATTTATGCTCTTATTTTTACCAGCAGAGCTGCAGTAACAATATTTTTTCAGCCGGGTTCTCTCAACATTAATTTATATCCACTTTTTCTCTGGATGTAGCCTAGGAAAATATCTTCATGGTTAATTGGGACGTTAGACCTCCTTGCAAGGAATAAGAAACAAGTAACGTTGCCTTCAAGGCTCTGGCTCAAACGCACATGACTGGATCATTCGTTTCACTTGCCGCTGATGGTTATGATCATTTGAATGACTGTGTCTCGGGATTTGGAGTCTTTGTCTGGAACGATTGTAAGTCTGGCTTAACCCATGTAGAATTAGTCTGTTACAAGTTAAAAAATGCTCGACTCTTGTTTTAAATAGGATGGAATCTAATACAATGAAGTAGCATAGTCGGAAACCTATTGCGTTTATAAGTGTTAAAGCAATTTATTTAGGTGAGTGTAGGTTGCCACTTACGAAGATGTCAAAGACCAGTGAGCTTCCCAGATTAAGACCTTCAGATGACGAGATTACTCTCTGTTGGAAACACATTAGCCGCGCAGTGCAAACAGCTGAAGAATCGACTCTAGTTTAAATGATTTTATTGCACTTTCGTTAGACTGACCTTAAGATAATAAATGACATTGACATTCTAGAAACTTATAGGCTCGATTTGAGAAGGAAAATACTTGTATTTAAAACGAGTTCAGCCTGATTTTACTTTTGCTATGAAAGCAATTAGGAAAAAGCTACAGTGATTGATAAAGGAAAGCACTTTCATCCGCTTTTACTGATTCAGCAGCAAACTTCGTAAAAGCTGCCGCGGCGCAAAACATGAAAACCAATTATTCTTCTTGTCTATGGATCATGCCATAGAGATAAAATGGACAGCAAACGGAAATATACTTGGATTTGTAAAGAACTCTGCCAAAATTCATACATTAACCTACAGAAGAATCGTGAAAAAAATGCATGAAACGAATAAGTTGTGAACAGTTATATCGTATCATAGCCTTTACTCATTTTGCGGAACATCAAACCATTTTAGATTAATGACATTTTTCATCTCAGCATTTCGCAGTTTCATGTATAGACAGATTCTCTGCGCAAGACCATGCTTTCGTTAATGTTACTATTCTTCCAAAACTGCACAGCGATACGGTTATACAAGATAGTCAAGGTGGAATCACAGTTACATTGTTGTCTTTAGCGGAAGTTTACATAAATTTCACCACCACCCTGTTTTACGCAGTGTGCATTGTTAATGAATTTTTGATGCTTAACTCATGAATCAGTTTACGGTTCTAAATATCTATACATGTACTGATGCGCATAGAGCTTTCCATGTGTCGATAGATAAACTATTCTTCGGTTACTTGTTTCCATAAACATGAGCAAACCGTATCAGTTTTTTGTCTCTGACTGTCTTAGTTATGTCCTGAGATCAGCTAACGCAAGAAAAAAGTAGCTTTTTACATTTTATTGTTAATATTCAACTTGAATTGTCACTAGTATTATTTGGATGTGTTTGATAGGCATTTGTGTGTTCGTATAATTCTGCAGCAGCACGGGCCCAATTTTAGAGAGTTAAACTAGGGTCTTGTCAGTGTTCGATATTTGCTTTTTAATTCGGAGTAAAGGGATGCTTACAAAAGCGTACCATGTCAGTAGAATCTTCCTGTTTAAACTGTGACCACAGTTTCCACCCTTCTAGAAAATAACTCTGATTTCAAGAAGTGATAGGTCTTCTTTTCCCATAGTTGGCAGTATGAGAAGCAAGAAAAAAGTATCATTTGCAAGAATTCCAACGTTTCGACCGAATTGGTGTCGATCATCATCAGGGAATGAACGCAGAATATTAACAACCACTTTGTCAGTTGGTGCTTGACCCGATCCGTTCGACGCTAGACCTGTCGCCAATTAAGCTATGAATCATGTTCCACTCAATGGAAGCGTAAATGGAGCCAATGCAACTCTTACAAGTTCTATTTCTGTCCGCAACGAAGGACAAACCAAAACAGAGCTATATGCAAGAATGCATACCTTGCATTGGGTGACCTGAACCCAGAAGACATTGTTTGCATAATGGATATAATAACCGGTAATGTTTACTTTAAATTTGATAATTCAGTGTGCAGACTATTCTGCAGTTTCGATTTTTCCCCCGTTAGTGTAGTATTAGCGAAAATCTATGTGAATCATCTGGAATCCAACGCGATTTCTCTCTATTTAAATCGCGTTAAACCCGCACTATGTTTACAGAGTATGGATGACATTTTGATTTTGCATAGTAATCTTAATTATTTCCATCTGCTGCATTAATGTTTAAATAACCAAGATTACCTTATGAAATTCACTTCAGAGCTCGAACACAGTAACGAGATGGCGCTTCTTGGTATTTTCACTAAGAGAGACGCTATTGGTGCATTATCCTTCAAGGAGAATATATATATAGGCAAGACCTGTCGAGCGC